GAAAATTCTTCTTGATCACCTTGAACGAAATTGGGTGAATACATCTCATATTACTGATTTACCGGTAGTCACAAAAACAATAATTAATTCGAAAAATAGGATAATAATGCAATTTTTGCTACCAATTGGGCTTTTTATAGCAAAATGGGCACCTCATAATTTAGCATGTACATAAAAGTCTTGACTTCAAGTCGTTTATTACCTGAATCAATTTACTACGAACAAAAGTGATATTCACTTACTCGGGCTCCAGATATGATCAGGCTTCAAGGTGGATAGTCTCCCAGATTGATGGCGATCATCTTCCATCTCCGCATTAAGTCCGCTGTTCTTAAATGGTTCTGGATCGGCGCCCATTCGGTCGGTCAAGCCTAGCGTAAGGCTCAACTCAACCAGCGTCCTGTTATTTCCATTGTCAAGCTTCTGTTCATCACTTCTTTTCGAGAGCTCCTTCATCTCCACTCCCTCCGCCTCGGTCCGATTTTCCTCTTTTAGTTTACTCATCACTACGCCAATCTCCTTATTCATTTGCAAATGTCCCTCGTCCAGCGCCTCGACTAGTCCGAAGTCCTCCTTTCCACATCCCAGTCTGGCGGCATTCGACGGAACATTGTGAGAAGCCTGCTCCTGTCCTCCTCCTACTCCCGTGACGTCGTGCAGGCCTGCAACGATTGACGGAGCAGCAACGGTACCGAAAGACACGTAACTGGCCCGCCTTAGCCGCTTACACCGTGGTGACGCCAACTCGACGGCCACATACTTTCCGCTTTCCTCTTCACTTCTGTCCTCCTTCTCCTTCGTCTCGCCTCTTTTTCTACCGGCATCCCTTCGCACGGCTTCATAGTCATTTTCCCTGCTTGTATGCTTCCCCTCCAGTTGACGATCGTCTCTGTCCTCGTCATCCTCGCTGCTGTCCTCCATCACCGCCGCCTTGAGCATATCTTTGCCCTCCGCCAGCCGACAGACATCCGAACTCTGCTCCTCGGCCAAACTTGCCTCTCGCCGGAGGCTCCTTCGCACCAGACCGCTGTGTAGCACAGTTGTCATACTTTTATTCCCACCCCGTCTCTTCTTCACACACACACACACACACACACACA